ACTGGATAATGAATTGGGCTGTGATTATTTAAAGAGAGGGATTGGGGGAGTTTAATGGAAATGGAGATATAAATACTTACGGTGTTATTTTTGATAACCTTTGCTGGGCTTTTGCTGATAAATAAGAAAACTTGAAGATTTAGAGATGGGCTTATAGAAAATTGGCTGAGCTAGGGAATGCAGAAATGTTTGATTGTATTTTAAGAGACGTGATAATTTATGATGTGTATAATACTTGCTAGGGATGAAGGAGAAACTTCTTTTTTCTATTTTTTTCTTTTTCTTAGATTTTATTTTTTTTAAAAAATTCACCCTTATTATTTTTATAACTAATTCAAAGTGGCAAACATACCTAATACTCCTTCCTCCTCCTATTTCCCCTACAATAACAACCTAGTGAAGTGAGCTAGGCAGAGAGAGAGAGAGAGAGAGAGAGAGAGAGAGAGAGAGAGAGAGAGAGAGAGAGAGAGATTGGCCCAAAGTCACCCAGCAGGTTTTCTTAGTCAAGGTAGGATTAGAATTCACATTCTCCTAGTTTCTAGTTCTTCTTCTTCTTCTTCCATATCCAGATCAAACTTTAGATTGCCAAAACGAAGCCACCTTCTTGGCTTTGGCTTTGTCCAAAAATTAGTCAAGTGAGTGCATATTTCCGGTAGTAAGTGACGTACCAGAAATGGGCTGAGCTGTCAGTATCTCTGGATTCACACAGCATATTATTATCCACTAACAGCCTCCAACTGAGCATATAAGTCTTACACTTAGGCATTCCAACCCTCAGACTATTCAGAGAGGTAGGTCCTTCAGCCACATCTTCCTTTAATGTTATTCCTTGCTCAACGGTCTCCTTCCTCCATCTTTTAATTCTGTTTTGCTCTTGCATACCCTGAAGAATGTTTGTTCTTGCCATAAAGCTTTTCCTGGATCTGGGGCACATGGCATACTGTATGTCCATTCAGAGGATGCCAAGGATCATTTTCTTGCTTAGTTCTCTAGGTGTCTACTGCTACTTCTCTCCTGATCTTAAGTGAGGCAATGCCCATGAGAGACTGCAAGTTCTCAGTTGGTGTAGGTTAGAGGCATCCTGTCACTAAATGTACTGCTTCATTGATGACAATGACAACTTGTTTTGCATGTGCAGAAGCACCCCACACTGGAGCAGCATTGAAGGAAAGACCAAAAGAGTCCCTCTCCTAAAACTTTAATCTCTATAGAGAATTATTATTTGCAGACCAACAGCATGCTCTTCTACAGAGACAGGGCCAAAACTGATGTGCACAATGTGGATGGCTGAGTTCAGATATGTCAGTGATGGCGAACCATTTAGAGAGTGAATGCCCAAACTGCAACCCAAAACCCACTTATACATCATCAAGTGCCGGGTGGATGTGGCCCATTGTCTGGGTGTGACCAAGTGGGTGGGCATGGCCAATTGGGTGGGCGTTGCTGGGGTGGTAACGGCAGACTGGGTGGGACTAAAAAGTTCAATCAATCAATTCCAACTTTGCAAGACCTTTTTTTTTCCTGCAGAAGTTGAAATTGACTGATTGAACCTTTTTTTTTTTTTTTTTTTGCACACTGCGGCGGAGGCCTAAAGTGAAAAGGTTTTATAAAACCCAGCTGAAGTCCTACGACTGGGGCAACAGCGCATGTGCCCACAGAGAGGGCTCTGAGTGCCGCCTCTGGCATCTGTGCCATAGGTTCGCCACCACTGATGTATGTAGTCTATCATTTTCCGGATGATATCGTTTCTCAAGCTAACTTTAGATTTAGTGTTGAGACAATGCTGTTTAAAAGTGAGTGTCTTGTTGAGTGTTACACTGTGGTACTTCCGTGTTGGACAGTGCTATAATTGGTTCCCTTGCCACATAACTTCCAACTCTTCCCTTGCATCTCGATTTTGAAGTTGGAAAGCACATACTTGGGTCTTGTTTGGGTTGGAACTCAAATGGTTGATGGTATAATATTGTCCTAATTCCTCAGGTGCTACCGTAAGTTTCCCAACTGTCCAGTGGTGGGATTCAAATATGTGAACAACCAGTTCTCTGTGTGGATGTCACTTCCAGAAGTCCATTCTGAGCCTGGGCAACAAAAAATTAGCTACCGGTTCTGCTGAACTGGTGCAAACTGGTTGAACCCCATCACTGCAGCTGTCTCATCAAAAGTTGTGCAGCCACTGCTGTGTTGTCCGTATAGATGAATAGATGTGTATAGTCAGGGACTACTTGATCATTTGTATACATGTTATACAATGTTGGGGACAATACACTACCTTTTGGAATCCCATTCTTCTTCATCCTGGTTTCTAGTCCAGTGCTTTAACACATTCAATGGTTTTTTTTCCCCTTCTGCACTTTTTTCTTTTTTCAATAATTTTAATGTATTTCTCTACAAAGTTGTATTGGTTTTAAATAACATAATAATAATAATAATAATAATAATAATAATAATAATAATAATACACTTACTATCAAACAAGGAAAAATAATGAAAACTGAAGGAATCAAGATGCCCCACGAAAATAACATTAAGAGTCTGGATGAGGAAGAGTACTACAAATACTTGGGTATCCCTCAAGCTGACAACATCAAGCACACTGAAGTCAAGAAAAAGATTAGAGGTGAATACATCAAGAGAGTGAAGAAGATCTGAAAATCCAAACTCAATGGAGGAAATACCATAAAGGCAATCAACACCTGGGCAATCCCAGTCATTAGGTACACAGCTGGAATAGTGGACTGGACTCAAGCAGAACTAAAAGCACTGGATAGGCAGACCAGAAAAATAATGACAATGAATCATGCCCTTCATCCACGCAGTGACATTGACAGACTTTATCTACCAAGGCAAATAGGTGGGCGTGAAATGCTACAAGTACATCAGATGGTTGAAGAAGAAAAAATGGCTTTGAAAGAATATCTGAAGAACAATGATGAAGATGCACTGAAATTAGTATATCAGGAAGGCTTACTAACTACTGGAGAGACCAAACTGGCCTACAAGAAAGACCAAATGAAGAACAGAATAGAGGCAGGGGAAGACAAAGCACTACATGGCCAATACATGAAAAAAATAGCTGGGAAAGAAGATAACAATAAAACCTGGCAATGGCTAAGAGCAGGAAAATTGAAGAAAGAGACCGAGGGACTAATTCTGGCTGCACAAGACCAAGCCTTAAGGACAAATGCATACAAAGTCAAAATTGAGAAGACAGCAACAGACAGTAAGTGCCGCCTATGCAAAGAAGCTGAAGAAACAGTGGACCACTTGGTAAGCTGTTGCAAGAAGATTGAACAAACTGATTACAAGCAGTGGCATGACAAAGTAGCAACAATGGTGCATTGGAAGATGTGCAAAAAATATCATTTGCCTGTAAGCAAAAACTGGTGGGATCATAAAATAGAGAAAGTCATAGAAAATGATAAAATTAAACTGCTCTAGGACTTCAGAATTCAAACAGACAAGCACCTGCAACATAACACCCTGGATTTAACAATTGTCGATAAGAAAGACAAAAAAAGTCTGGATAGTGGATGTGGCAGTGCCTGGAGACAGCAGAATAGACGAGAAAGAACTGGAGAAGATAACAAAATACAAAGACCTACAAATAGAAATAGAAAGACTGGCAAAAGCAAGCAAGGGTAGTACCAATAGTCATAGGCTCCTTGGGTGCAATCCCAAAACAACTGGAGCGCCACTTGAACACCATTGGCATTGACAAATTCACTATTAGTCAATTGCAAAAGGCAGCCTTATTAGGAACTGCTTCCATCCTGCGACGATATCTGTAATACAATCAAACATCCACATCTGCCTATCCCAGGTCCTGGGTAAGGACTCGATAGGTAGACAAAATGCCAAATCCAGTCTGAACATCTGGCTGACTGTGCGATGATCGATAATAATAATAATAATAATAATAATAATAATAATAATAATAATAATAATAATAATAATAATAATAAGTGCAAGATGATCACACAGACTGATTACAAGCAGCAGCATGACAAAGTAGCAACAATGGTGCATTGGAAAATCTGCAAGAAATATCATTTGCCTGTAAGCAAGAATTGGTGAGATCATAAAATAGAGAAAGTCATAGAAAATGATAAAATTAAACTGTTCTGGGACTTCAGAATTCAAACAGACAAGCACCTGCAACATAACACCCCCGACTTAACAATTGTCAATAAGAAAGAAAAAAAGGTCTGGATAGTGGATGTGGCAGTGCCTGGAGACAGCAGAATAGATGAGAAAGAACTGGAGAAGATAACAAAATACAAAGACCTACAAATAGAAATAGAAAGACTGTGGCAAAAGCAAGCAAGGGTAGTACCAATAGTCATAGGCGCCTTGGGTGCAATCCCAAAACAACTGGAGCATCATTGGAACACCATTGGCATTGACAAATTTGCCATTAGTAAATTGCAAAAGGCGGCCTTACTAGGAACTGCTTCCATCCTGCAACAATATCTATAATACCATCAAACATCCACATCTGCCTATCCCAGGTCCTTGGTAAGGACTTGATAGGTAGACAAAATGCCAAATCCAGTCTGAACATCTGGCTGACTGTGCGATGATCAATAATAATAATAATGATGATGATGATGATGATGATGATGATGATGATGATGATGGAAGGGACCTTGGAGGTCTTCTAGTCCAACCCCCTGCTCAGGCAGGAAACCCTATACCATTGTTTAATATAATCCTTAATAAAATTATTGAAAATTGTTGAAAAAAAGGCAATGCAAGTACAAAAGAAAAGAGCTTAGAGAGGAAGTCACCATACATATTTGTCCTTTTTGTGCCATTGTGGCTTGCTGGATACACCTCATTGAGTAATGCCAATCTTCCAAATATCCTAGGGAAATAAAATGGATCTGAAAGGTACCATCTTAGAGGATAGTGATAGTGGTTAGCATGTGTGTGAATAGGGGGTGTTTCCAGGCTACTGACTTTCTGCTGTTGTCTTTTCTCCTTTGTCTCAATCTTTCCAGGTATGGCTGTGTGGTGGCAGCATGGAGGTTCTCCCTTGCTCTCGAGTGGCCCACATTGAGCGCAAGAAAAAGCCGTACAACAATAACATTGGCTTTTACACCAAGAGGAATGCACTGCGGGTGGCTGAGGTGTGGATGGATGACTACAAGTCCCATGTATACATTGCATGGAACCTGCCATTGGAGGTGAGTCAATATACTTAGGTCTCCATCATCTGCCTTTTCTCCTAATGTCCTTGATGGGAATCTGTGTGGGACTGTGCTTATATCAGAGGAACTTTCATCCTTTTGTAGACATCCCATTCATACAAACACACACACTACATAAACCACACAGCTGATCCTAACATACAAAGAGGGCGGAGAAATCTAATTCCCTCTCTCTTGAATTACTTCTACTCCAGATATCTGCTTTTTTCCTTTTTTATGAGAGGAGGAGACTTTGACCTTCCCTTCATCACAAGTTACCAATCTGCTTGCTTTCAACATGTCAAATACAGCTAACAAAGTGTTATCTTTGATTCAGACAGAAAAAATTATATGTCCCAAGCCTTAGCCCATACTAAGAGAAACTATGCTGATTTTTCTTTCTCTTTCTCTTCTATATTTACATTCTTAATAGAAAGGGAAAAGAGGAAAAATGAGGAGGAACAGAGATGGAAGTTTCCAAACTTGGTTATTATGGTACTAAAGTAACGTTGGAAACTCCCAAATAAGAACACAACACTGCCAGGGACTTCATATAGACCGAATTCTAGGAACTGTGATACGGTGGAAAATGAACTTCAGCTTAATTTCAGATTTGCTTTTTCATTTGGAACTACATAATGTCCATATGAACATTAATGAACCTGTAGGAGATGGCCAGGGGGAGCCCGAGGGTAGGGTCAAATACATCATCTGTTTGGAATCTACACCCCCATAAGGGACTTAGGTCTCATCCCCTTGAAATCTATTGATTCTTATCTGGCGCCAATTCTTTCGTACAGGTTGCATGGAATTAACTTGCAGTACTTTTTGATCTCAATTCTGGTTCCTGGTTTCTTGTACCTGGCAGAACCCACTTGAGTGCCAGTTTGCTCCCAGTTTAATTGGAAAGTTCCATTTTTGACAGGGGTGAGCAGTGTGACCCCACTGGCCATATGTGACCCCCGCCCATTCATATAGATGCTGGAGCCCAAGCTAGTTCATACCAGTGAATTTGGGTGGCTGAAATTGTTTACTATCTGCCTCCCAAGAATGCTAAAATGATTATGTTAAGTCTCTGAAAGGCTTCATACCAGTGTCTTGCTTTAAATACACCTCAAGGCTCCCCAGACAGGCTTTAAATTGCTATTTTTCCCAAGCCTCATTCCAATAACAACATTTTGAGAAATAAAAACTAAAAGCAAACAAACACATAAAAGTGCAGTTCTTGGCTACAAGATAAAACCTATCCATACCCCTATGAGTTCCTTTTTTTTTCTGAATGTAACTAAAGAAAATTTAAGCTGAATTCCAACTCCTGAGAATTTCACGAGCACGTCCCTGTTATTTTCTTGGAAACAATAAGGAAGTGCTTTGCAATTGCCTTTTTAATTATTTTTTCTTAATTTCCCAATGTATTACTTGCTGGTATTTCATTTTAATATTGATCAGGTCCAACAGTGCTTCCCTTTCCAAGACCAGCCAAAGTCATTTCAGTACTGACCTCAATATATATTATTTTCTTAAATACAGTAGGCTAGAATATTGTCATTTTTCAATTTTTCAGAATTTTTTTTTAACTTTACCATTTGGCTACAGATCTTGGCTTCCTAATGTTCTCCCTGTAAGTGCTAACCAGGTCTAACCTTATTCAGTTGTTTTGAGATTGGCTAAATCAGGCTAAGTGTTGCCATCTGTTGTGACATTTCTATTTTTTTTTTTAAAAAAGAGATAATAATTTAATAATCAGATTGATAGCTGAGTGGGAAGAGTTTTACTAGTGAAGTTACATTGTCAATACAGAAGCCAATTGTTTATTCAGCTTTCTTAGAAACGGGATCTGGACTTTTAAACAGGCTTTTAAAATGTATTTCTTTCTTCTCTGGATTATTTGTTCTCCACCAATTTTGGCTTTTGTTTTTCTGGTTCTTCTGGTGTGCTTTATTGATTTTTTTATTTTTTTTAAATTGTGTTTTTTGCTTTTATCTTTGTTCTTTGCTTTGAGAATTGTCATCTTGGAAGATAAGTGCTTTGTGTTTTCTAAGTTACTAATAGAGTGTAGGTTGAACATTAAAAATGGAGAGAGAGAGAGAGATATCCTGAATCAAACCTCACAGACAACAGAAGTTATAATTCCAAATATTCACGAACATTCATCACCCTGAAAGATATTTCTTCTCAAAGTGGGCAGTATAAAAGTTGAGAAAACCTATTAAGTTTTTTAAAGAGATTCATATTTTACTTTACTGTTTGAAAAATGACACAATATCTCAAAAACCCATTAAAGATATATTGTGATCAGGAAATAGAAAATTATAACTGGAACTTTCAGCTAAATGTTGAAATATTCCATCCCTAAATCTTAACCAACTTTTCTCCTTATAAGCAATTTCAAAAATTCTCTTCATTCCATCAAGTGGTTAATTGTTTCTTTCCAGTGCATTCATCTTTCTATAAGTTGGACCAATCTTTGCTGTTCACATTTTAGCCCTGCAAAGATGTCAGAGTTTTTTTTCCCTTTTCAGATTTTTTTTTTTTTTGCGCTTTTGAAATATGAGATTTTCATAAACATTTAAACAGATGGTGCTGTTTGGGGCTGCAGATTCATTCACTGGCATTCATTTCCAAACACTGGCCATAGAAAGAATGAAAATTCAATCTATGGGAGCACAATAGTTTGGTTTCACATCAGTCCTCTTCCTCAACAACAATTAAAAAATATCAACAGCAAAAGGTTCCATGAACATTGACTTCCGCTGCCTACCATGGCTTCAGTCAATGAAGATTTTCACACAACACTTCAGTGTCTCTGTTAGAAAAGATGTAGACTATTTTAAACACCTGTAATTAAAGGATGCATTTTACCCTAAGCACACTATAATTTTCCCTGCAAGCTAGGATGTCTAATCTAGAGATTATCTTTCAAGCCAACATGTGGTTGCCAAGATCACAGTAACTTGGAGGAATCTGCAGTCTTTGACATACTTCAGAAACAAAGATTTGTTTCAAAAAGAAAAAGATATAGAGGGAAGCAGTGATGGTGTTGGTATAAATTAGCTTTAGTTAGAAATAATCTTTCTTCTCTCTTATCGTCTGTCTTAATGACTTCTTAATCTTTTCTCTGCTTTGCATAATTTTGCTTACTTTGAAAAAAGTATAGCATGATGGGTCTGTATGTATGTATGAAAATAGTGGTGGTGGTGGTGGTGATGATGATGATGATGATGATGATGATAACACCAAGGAAGGTGACAATGGTGATGATGACAAAAGGTTTGGAGAAATGGCAAAAACTTATCAAGGAACAAGCTAACCAGATTTGTTAAGATTATAAATTCAACATTCTGATTATTGCATCAAACCAGGACTCTCAAGCAAATATTAATGCTGAGAAGGTTATCTTTTTATAAGTCCTAAGTTTGTATACCAGAAAAAGATGACTTTCAGAGACGGGAATCATAACTTCTTCCTAAGAAACATCCTGATTTTGTGACTAAAGTGGCCATTTCTGTGCATAGGACCACATTGCTTTGAAAATTTTGGAGTTATTTCAAGTTCCAAAAAGAATCAGAGCAGGCTTTCCTATCACTTAGAGTGCCATTTCAATGTCAAAATGGAGTCTGCTGATTTCAGAATGTTTCATCTATTGCCATTCTTAAAGATTTCAGGAAAACATTTAGCTACTCTTAGTTGGAGTTGATGGGGATTGAACTCGTGATCTTCTACATATAAAGCTGGTGCTTTGTCACTGAATTATACTCCATATCTTTAACTGTATTGATAGGAGTGTGATGGCTCATATGGTTAGAATGCTGAGTTGACAATCAGCAAGCCCACATTTGAGACTGGAGTACTGCTGTGTGGTGGGATGAGCTCCTATCATTTGGTCCAGCTGCTGCTGACCTAGCAATTCAAAAGTGTGCAAATGCAAGTAGATAAATAGATATCATTTCAGTGGGCTCATTAACAGGGACATGAAAGGAATCCCCCCAACTGGGCATCTCCCAGACAACGGTGATGTCACCAATTAATCCTTTCAACCTGGAAGGGCCTTGTTGCTTCTGATTCAAATATGACAATGATGATGACAAGCTGTAATTGGCTGGGTTGGATGGGAATTTTATGCCGGGGGTGATTTTTAGGCCAAAGTTTACTCACCTTTTATAAAGAAGCTGTTGGGCCTCCTTATTCCAGATATATTGACAGTCTTCTTATAAGTTTCTTAGGGCTTTCTAATGTGAAAAGAAGAGAGACTTCAAAGGTGGCATCATAAGCTATGAGGGTAGGAAAATCCAAAAGAAAGATTCCTAACAATGTCTTTTCGACAAACAAGTGAACCTCTGGTTATCTCAGAGCATAGCAACAACAAGAGAAAGTGATGATGTAATCATGTATCTCTCTTTCAGAACCCAGGAATTGATATTGGGGATGTTTCGGAGCGAAAAGCACTTAGAAAAAGTTTGAAGTGCAGAAGTTTCCAATGGTACCTGGACCATGTCTACCCAGAAATGAGAAGATACAATAATACCATTGCCTATGGAGAGGTAATTGAGAAGGAAACACTGCACAGAACATGTAGGGATTCACTTGAATTTAGGCTACATTTTATGCCTCTCTCCCAACTACTTTCTAATGAGATCTGCAGGGAGTAACTAGAATCAGCCAGTTTTTACTCAAAACTGGAATTAAAACTCTTTCAGCCAACCCCAATGGCTATCCAATGTAATTCTTGCATTCAGAACAGAAGGCTACAAAGATCTCTGGAATCAGTTTAATTTGGTCGTGTTCCATTTAACCTAGGATAGTCTACACCAGGAGACTTAGTATCTTTCAGGTGTTTTGGGCTTCAGTTATTATTTTTCTTGAATATTGTCTTTGCTGGTTATCAGTTGAGAAGGTGCCATCAAAATTTGCATATTTCTGTACATTTCAGCTTTCTACTTGAGAAACTTTCCTGACTCTTTATCAAGGTGATGTCATTTCTTAACATTAAATATCATAGCCAGAACTGATGGGAATGATACGTTAACCACATCTGGTGGGTCAGGAATTTCCTGTTCCTGGTGTAGGCAGCACCAAGCTAGATTTGAATTTGTTTTATGTAATAGGGACTAGGTGCCATCTATTTTTAATCTCAGTTCAGTTTGGATGGCCTGCTTGATCTGATTTAACCATTCAAATTGATTTGGAAATCTGATTGATTTCAAGTGTCAATTCATTTCAAAAGTTGTTTTGATTCTTCATTCAATCAAATGATTTTTTTTTTCCAGATTATTTTTTTGAACCTGGCAACTTCTCTGCCATCAGCCTTGTGATATCTGGCCATTATGGCTACAATACAGTGTGCTGTAAGCAATTCCCCAGCTGTGCTACCTGTTGTCCTTTTTTCAATAGAAAGACTAAAGGTATGAAGCTGGGATCCTTTGCTTGCAAAACACATTTCTTACATGCATAATAAGGTCCTCCTTATTGTGAACATGGACCACCAATGTAACAAGTGCATTTAAGGGTCTTTCTTTGAAGCAACAGCTCAAAATATGTAGCCATCTAACATCTCATTATTATCAAATCAAAGTGGTGGTAGCATCTGACAGCCTTACCCTGGTCTCTGTTCTGCCTCCCTAAATAATTCAAGCACTGGATTTGATGAGGAGAGAACATTCTCCTTTGCCTGAAATTTAGTGGAGAGAAATTAGTTGTAGAATTCATGACAACCAGATGGCTATAAGTGCACTTTGATTTACAATGCAGTCTACTTTATGATGAATCACACCGGGTAGGAAATGTGTGTTATATTTTTCAGCCCTAATTATAAAGCGATGACTGGATGTCTTCTGTTGCTTCTTGCAATCCTCTTGGATTCCAGTTTGATTAGGAAGACTTGGGCACCATACTGATTTGCAATATTTGTCAGGCTGTAACCCTTGTCATCGTTTAACATTAGTTGTCATCAGGGCTTTTTTTCTCATAGAACGCCCATAGAACAGAGTTCCGGCACCTTTTTGGGAGGGAACCTTGTAGGGTAGGCAAGGTGGGTTGTATGACGTGTGTGAGTTCCGGCACTTTTTTTTTTTTTTTTTTTTTTTAGAAAAAAAGTACTGGTTGTCATAGCCAAGTTTGATGGGAATTACAGACCAGTAACAACTGATGGGTCATGACTTTCCCATTCTTGCTGTAAGCAGCACCAAGGTACTGTTGGTTTTAGACAGCATGATCTGAATTGGTTTTAGATGTACAGATAGGGTGCTGTCTAATTCTAATCTCAGTTTAGTTTGGATGGCTTATCTGATTTAAGCATTCAACTTAAATTGCCAATCTAAATGATTTCAACTGTCAATCCATTTGGAAAGTTATTTTGATTCTTCATTCAGCCAAGTGATTTTCAAATCAAATTTCCAAATTTAAGTTTTACACAATTCTACTTTAATAAGTCACTTCCTAAATTCAGTTATATAGAGCTGTGGTTCAGTGGGTTATATGCAGAAATTTAAACCGAACATCTCTAGGTGAGTTTGAGAAAGATTTCTGCTGGAAACTTTGTATTCATTATCATTCCTTAACATGATTACTAAATTAAGACATTTTTCTGGGTTGACACAATGCAGTGAACCAAACTAACTGATAGCCTGGATTTACATGACCCACTAGGCCACAGATATACAAAAAAGAAAGCAATTGACCAAGATTTGTTTCTGATTAGAGCAGTCTATAAGTCTTATAAGTAAGTAAATGAAGTGAATACTACTGCAACATGCAATTATAATTTCTGATTATGTGTTTGGGTAGGCACAGCCAATGCATAGTATACTGAAGCTGATAGATCAATAGTTTGACTTATAGAAGGCCCCGTTCCTTCTTCACTCTTCAATCAACATTTCTTTGTTGATGAACAAAGTCATTGTTGAGCTCATTTAGAACATCAGAGCTCAAACTCGGAGAAACAGTTCTAACGAACAACTGTTGGAAAATAAGTTATGGGTGGGATATTTGTATAGTGATGGTGGTTACAATGTTCTTCTTAACTGAAAACTCTTATGTGAATAGGGTCGGTATCCACCACATCTTTATCATATTCAGCCCAGAATTAAAATCTAGATTGGTCTGCAGAGGAAAGCAGCATCTGGGAAGTTTGCAGAAGCCCTCATTTGCTAGGCATTTGCTTGACAAGCTGGCAGAGGGCCTATGGAAACAGACAGAAATAATTCACCCATAATTCATTTTCAATTGCCATTCTGTTCCAGACATAACCAATCATTTATGAATGGACATTCGGCTATTTTTTACAGTATATCAAGTTTCCATTCCATCTAGAGAAGGAGGAAGACAAGGAGGAGGTTTTAGGTTAGCATTTCAAAAGAGAAAAAAAAAATCTCAAATCTCCCATCACTTCTTTAAAAAGATAAATATTTGGCAAAAAGGAGAAAAATGCTAGGAGGGAAAATGAGAAAAATTCCTAGTAGATTCATCCTATAAAGATAATAATAATGTATTTCCTTCTATTACCCATGTACCAGGGTAGATAATTCCTGATATCTGGTGGATACATTAATAGTAATTTGGGGGAGGAAAGTCCACAGTGAGTTTGGCTATGATGAAGAATGGATAAAATATGTTACTCTTATGTTAGTCCAGCTTTGTTTGACCTGGGATTCTTTCCATTACTACATTTTTAACAGTGTGAATTATATTTTAGGACATTGGGAATAAATTTGCAGACTGCCTGTGTCCCCATTCCTCTCCCCACCCCAATCCCCATTGTGATCTCAGGGAGTATCTATTCTACAATGGCACCCTACCCTATAGAACAGATTTCTACCCCTTTCTCCAAGAAACGGATGGTTCCATCTCTTGTGGCATTTTGAAAGTCCATGAAAATCTTGCTCTTCTTCCAGACACTGGGACTGAGTTAGAAGTCACTGAAACGTTGGCATGGGTGTAAATGATAAATAGCCTTTGATTCGGTTTCTTTTTGGACTTCAGGGAACTTTTTATTTTGTTCACAATCTCACGTTTCTCAGATTGATGGGTGGATATATAAATTGGAAGGAAGGAAGGAAGGAAGGAAGGAAGGAAGGAAGGAAGGAAGGAAGGAAGGAAGGAAGGAAGGAAGGAAGGAAGGAAGGAAGGAAATTATAATGAGAGACGATTTCGAAGGCTGTTATTATTTTGTGAAAGAGCCAAGAAATGGGTTGATGGTATGGTAGAATTCCCCTTCATGCATCTCACGGCTTGAAATGCCAGAAGAAAGTGTGCTTAAACCAAATTGTTTTGAATTCTCTGGGCTTAGCCTGACCTGCCTTTTTGAGAGAGAGAAAGGCCCTCGGTACCCACAACTTCCTCTTTGTAGTCAAAATGGCAGCTATTACAACTTCTACATTTCTAAAAAAAAACCAAATCAATGCCATGCATAGTCTGCTTTCTGACCCCCTATAACGTTTTCTGTTCTGTCAACCATATTTTAACCTCTTTTTCAGAGGGCCCAATAATTTGTTTTAGTAAGCTGTTGTGAATTTATCTCTGTATTGATCTACAGCCTCCCTAGCTGCTGCTATTTGATTTCTGTGGGACAGAATCACTGTGTGGAAAGTCAAGAAGGCTGCAGGTTGCTTGGGAGATAATGGTGAACTAAGAGATAAGAAAATATACGGAAATCCAAGAATATCAAATTCATAAGAATCTCACTAGAAGTCACTCCTTTTTAAACAAAGATTCATTTTGTCCATAAAATTAAGCATACTATTGTAAGTAAAAATGAATGATTAGCTGATGCTGCTCAGAGTTGCTTTGGGTAGTGAGCTGGGTGGCATATACATTTAATAAGCAAAGCAATAAATCTTCCAGTAATTATAAAGCACTTGGGAGAAAACATTTGTCAAAATATCTTCATTTTAGTCTTGCAGGGTCTCATTCTGTTTTTGGGTTTGTTACAGCTGAGGAACAACAAGATAAAAGATGTCTGCCTCGATCAAGGGCCACAGGAAAATCACACGGCGATCCTCTACCCATGCCATGGCTGGGGGCCACAGGTTAGAATTCAACTTGGTTACCATGTGATGATGTGATTTGAACAAGGATGCTGCAACAGTTCTAATGTACTAGTGAAGAAGCCCTAGTGAATTTTGCAGTGAGCAGGAGGATGAACTAGATGACTTCAAAAATATGTTTTTGTTCTAGGGATCAATTAATTCAGGATTACCAAGATAGAAAGTAGCAATAGCAATAACAGACTTACATACTGCCCCATAATGCTTTACAGCACTCTCTGTGCAATTTACAGTCAGCATATTGCCCCCAACAATCTGGGTCCTCATTTTCCCTACCTTGGAAAGATGGAAGGCTGAGTCAGCCTCAAGCAGTCAAAATTGAACTATGGGTAGAGTTAGTCTGCAATACTGTATTCTAAATACTGCACCACCATGGTTCTTAAATATAACTATATTTCAGATTCAACCTTTAACTTTATAACATATCAGCTTCCTTGTCACTGGGTTTAAATAGTAAAAAAAATAAAAGATTTGGGAAAGGAAAATGGTGGCTATCAAAAAATGTAGCCATGGACACAAGCACATGGAGAATTGGCTGATTATCAGCAGACAGCCAGAGAACATGCAAAGATGAAGTCAGGAAAGCAAAGGCTCAGAACAAACAAAGACTTGCAAGAGAAATCATGGATAATAAAAAAAAAGTTTCTTCCAACATATTAACAACAAGAAAAAAGTCAAGGAAACTGTAGCTCCACTAAAGAGAGAAGATCAAGGAAATAACAGGCAACAGGGAGAAAGCAGAGCTGCTTAACTCATACTTTGCACCAGTCTTCACACAACATACAAAAAAAAAAAACCACTGCAAAAGACAAATTAGAAACAAAAATTAAAAATAAGCAAAAGAAATGGTAAGAGAACACCTATCTGACCTTCATGAATATAAATCACCGGGATCTGACAGGAACTGGCAGATGTTATCTCAGAACCATTGCACCACATCTTTCAAAAATCCTGGAGCACCAAGGACGTACCTGAGGATTGGAAAATGGCTGATGTGGTTCCCATCTTCAAGAAAGGAAAAAAATGGTCCCAGAAAACTACAGATCAATCAGTCTAACAGCAATACCTGGGAAGATCCTAGAAAAGATAATAAAAAAACAGATCTGCGAACAACTAGAAGCAAACAAAGTTATAACTAGTAGACAGCACGGTTTTGTTAAAAACAGATCATGCCAAACAATCTTATTTCATTCTTCGACAAAGTGACTAGACCAGTGAAATACTTAGACGTGGATGTAATATAGATTTCAGTTAAGACATTTGATAAAGTAGACCACAACCTACTCCTTGGCAAGCAACAAAAAGGTGGAATAAACAACATTACCACCAGATGGATCTGTAGCTGGCTGGCAAACTGTACTCAATGAGTAGTCCTCAATGGCACTACATCCACATGGAGAGAAGTAAGCAGAAGGGTACCACAAGGTTCCATCTTAGGCTCAGTGCTCTTCAATAACTTTATCAATGACTTAGATAAGGGAATTGAAGGGGAACTCATCACATTTGCAGATGACACCAAACTGGCAGGAGTAGCCAACACCCCAGAAGACAAACTCAGGATCCAAAAAGATCTTGACAAACTTGAAAAATGGGCCCTATCCAACAAAATGAGTTCCAACATGGAGAAAAGTAAAGTTTTATATTTAGGTAGGAAAAATCAAAGGTACAAGTACAGATTGGGCAAGACCTGGCTTAAAAACAGTAACTGTGAGAGGGACCTTGGAGCCCTAGTGGACAATCACTTGACCAGCAATGTGCAGCAACAGCCAAAAAAGCTAATACAATCCTGGGTTGTATAAACAGAGGCATAGACTCAAGATCACACAAAGTATTAGTATTGCTTTATAAAACTTTAGTAAGAACACACCTGGAATATTGCAGCCAATTTTGTTCACCATATCACAAGAAAGATGTTGAGAGTTTGGAAAAAAAATTCAGAGAAGAGCAACTAAGATGATCAAAGGCCTGGAGACTAAAACATATGAAGAACAACTGCAGGACTTGGGTTTGGCTAGTCTAAAGAAAAGAAGAAATAGGGGAGACATGATAGCAGTATTCTGGTATTTGAGGGGCTGCCACAAAGAAGAGGGGGTCACATTATTCACCAAAGCACCAGAGGGAAGGATGAGAAACAATGGTTGGAAACTAATCAAAGAGAGAAGCAACCTGGAATTAAGGAGAAACTTCCTGACAGTGAGGACAATTAACCAGTGGAACAGCTTGTCTCCAGAAATCCTGGGCGCTCTGTCACTGGAGATTTTTAAGAAGAGGCTAGACAGTCACTTGTCTGAATTGGTATAGGTTCTCCAGCTTGAGCAGGGGGCTGGACTAGAAGACTTCCAAGGTCCCTTCCTGCTTCTATTCTATTCTATTCTATTCTATTCTATTCTATTCTATTCTATTCTATTCTATTCTATTCTATTCTATTCTCAGTGTCTGGATCTCCTTCAATGGAATAAGAAAAACATTCCTGTCTGAAATGGAGTTTGTGCATCTCCTTCAGGATGTTTCTCAGCTTATGGAGTGCTTTCCTGTTTGACATTCAGGAATTGCATTTATGTCTCCAAGGGGCTGTTTTCTTGTCTCTTTCTTTCCCCAAAGGTCAACTACTATGTACTTTCTACATCAGAATGGAGCTTGTGCTCTGCTCTTTTTCTTTCTTCAGTAGCAGATCCTTTGCCTATTGACTTTTGTAAAGTGAAATTCTTCCACAACTGTGTGTGATTATGTAGGTCTTTCATATTGGAATTTCCTACTTGCCCCAAGCATTTATTTCACAGTTGGACATGCAAGCAGATCTTTCACTCCCCTGCCCTTTCCTTTTATTTAGAGGTTAATCAAATCCACAGGTGGTTAGTAGACTATAAGAGAGTAACAGAGTTGGAAGGGGCTTTGGAGGTCTTCTAGTCCAACCTTCTGCTCAAGCAGAAAACCCTATACCACTCAGACAAAATGGTTGTCTCTTTTTAAAACTTCCAGTGTTGGAGCATTCACCGCTTCTGGAGGCAGGTTGTTCCACTGATCAATTGTTCTATCAGGAAATTTCTCCTTAGTTCTAGGTTGCTTCTCTCCTTGATTAGTTTCCATCCATTGCTTCTTATCCTGCCTTCAGGTGCTTTGGAGAATAGCTTGACTCCCTCTTCTTTGTGGCAGCCCCTGAGATATTGGAACATTGCTATCATGTCCCCCCTCATCCTTCTCTTCATTAGACTAGACATACCCAATTCCAGCATCCATTTTTCATATGTTTTAGCCTCCAGTCCTCTAATAATCTTTGTTGCTCTTCTCTGAATACTTTCTAGAGTCTTGCCATTTTTTTTAATATTGTGGTGGCCAAAACTGGATGCAATATTCCAAGTGTGGCTTTACTAAGGTGTTATAAAGCAGTATTAACACTTCATGTGACCTTGATTCTATCCCTCTGTTAATGCAGCTTGGCTTTTTTACCAGCTGCAGCCATTTCCACCTGTTTTCTGACGTGGGCAAAACTTTGGTGCAGAAACACTAAGAATTTTCCTATTACCCCTACCTCAAATTTATTCCAAGAGTTGCTATTTTACTTTTTTCACACCTGGACCTTTCAGAGTGACAGCAGGATCTTGGGGAAACAAATGGCAAGGATAGTTTAGCAGACACCACGATTTGATCCAATAGAGGTTTTCCAGTCATCTTTTCAAGGTAGCTCCATGCAGCGTGCATAGTTTCAGTTATGAAAACCTGTGCAGTCCAAGATCAGTGGGAGCACTGATGGATGAGACATAATTTGGCACCTTCCGCCAAATGCAGTGACAGCTACAGAACTAGAAGGCTTGTCAGGCTGTCGACCAGCTCTTTGAATACCTCACAATTCTTCTTCTTCTGATTTTTAATGAACAGAGCTTGGAAATAATGGTAGTCTTCCAGTTAGGACCATTCATTGATTTGAAGTTACATGGCACTGAAGAAAATGACTGACAGCTGATTCTTGCACTTATGACCAACGCAGCATCCCCATGATTAAAATTCAGGCACTTGGTAATCAGCATGTGTTTATCCTTGTGTTGTGCAATCAACATTTACAACCTTCTTAGCCAGCTTCTGACAAGCAAAGTGAATGGGAGAACCAGATTTGCTTAACAACTGCACATTTCGTTTAACAACTGCAGTGATTTGCTTCACAACTGTGGCAAAAAAAGGTTGTAAAAGTGGGCATGGCTCACATAATAACCACTTTGTTTAGCCACAGAAATTCTGGGCCCAGTTGTCATAACTGGGTAAGACCTGGCTCAAAGACAGTAACTGTGAGAGGGACCTTGGAGTCCTACTGGATGATCAGTTGACTATGAACAAGCAGTGTGCAGCAGCAGCCAAAAAAATCTAATACAATCCTGGGTTGTATGAACAGAGGCATAGAATCAAGATAACGTGAGGTATGGATCCAGGAAATTACAGACCTATCAGCCTGACCTCAATACCTGGGAAGATTCTGGAAAAGATAATCAAACAACGAATCAGCGAACCCCTAGAGGCAAACAAAGTCATTACTAAAAGCCAACATGGGTTTGTCAAAAACAGATCATGCCAGACAAATCTTATTGCATTCTTTGACCAAGTGACAAAATTAGTAGATCAGAGGAATGCTGTGGATATAATTTACTTGGACTTCAGTAAGGCATTTGATAAAGTAGAGCACAACCTACTACTCAATAAGATGTGGGTTAGACAGCATCACCACCAGATGGATTCGTAGCTGACTCACTGGCCATACTCAGCGTGTGGTCCTCAATGGAACCACATCTATATGGAGGGAAGTGTGTAGTGGGGTGCCCCAGGGCTCTGTTCTGGGCCCAGTGCTCTTCAACATCTTCATCAATGATTTGGACAAGGGGATAGATGGGGAACTCATCAAATTTGCAGACGACACCAAGCTGGAAGGAATAGCCAACACTCCAGAAGACAGGCTTAAGATACAGGAGGATCTGGACAGACTTGAACACTGGGTG